TTTTGGTGGATGAGTTGGAATGGCCATGTCATCTATTTTTGCCAACTTGTTAATTTTTGTGTGACATATAATGCTTTTTCTATTTTTGTCCATCAAATAACATGAAAAATTAACGAAAGGACCAAATTGGGTAAAAATGATAAACAGTAGAGACTAAATCAAGAATTTTTTAAGTTCAGGGACCAAATTGGAGTCCGTATAATAGTTCAGAGATCAAAATGGGGTTTTAAACTTAAAATATTAGGTTTTTCAAGGATTTGAAAAGGTGGAGGTGTTGATTAGACCTGGTAAACAGGCGGGTTGGGTCGGGTTTGGGTCGGGTCAGAACGAGTAACGGGTCAAAATGGGTTGGGTTAAAACGGATCACGGGTCAATAAAGACAAACCCTAACCCGCCCATCACGGTTCACGGGTCAACCATTTTCTCTATAATTTGTATCTATTATCATTCAAAGAAAATTATTCAAAAGATTTAAAAAAGAAATTCAACATCTTATAAAAATAATTTTTTTCATTAATTTAATATATACATATTTATAGTTCCTCAGAATCACCTTCTTTATTTCCCTTCAAAAAACAACACTAGTCAAATTCAAGAACACTACATTTATAAATCTCAATAGAAAAAAAAAAAAAAAGCAGTAGTAGCATATAACCAAAAAACACAAACGCCATTGGAAAATATTTGTTTTGGTCATTGCTTTCAAAGAATAATCAATTGAATGCATCTAAGTAAGCAAAGAAGAAAATCAAGTAAAATTTTTACTTGGAATAGAAAGAAAACTAAAAAACATAAATAAGTAAACAACTAACCTTGAAGTCTTTAGAGAGAAAAGTTGGTGACAAAAATAGCACTTGCCGGACTCATAGGAGAAAAAAAGAAAAAGCTGAGTGGACGCAACAGTGATTCGATAAGACTAAAATCTAAGTCTAAGATAATGTTAAAGACTAAAGAGAAAAGGTGGAGTCAAAACTTAAAAGTCAAATGCTGTATGGACTATGAAGGTTAAAGAATATGAGAATAGTTTGAAGTTTGAAGAGTAAGAGTCTTTGAGAGTATTAAGGCAAGTAAGAATAGGAAAGGTCAGGACGTGAGTTATGAGTGGAGTGGAATTATTTTTACTTTTAAAAGATGATGAGTTAAGAGAATCAATTAGTTAATTAAAGAATATTAGTCAATTATTAGAGGTTTAGGTGGGATTGAGAATTGGAAAACAAAATAATTAAATATTAAATTAAAAAATTTTAAATTTTTAGACGGGTAAACGGGTCAAACCCATTAACCTGATGGGTCAACCTGTTATTGACCCGTGACCCGTCGGGTTCTCTTAACGAGTCATTAATGGGTCACGGGTCATAAATATATGACCCTAACCCGTTTTAAACGGGCAGGTAATGGACGGGTTAACGAGTTGGATAAAAAATTATCAAGTCTATGTTGATCGAGAAAAACAATTTTGTAAAGTGTTGATCGCGAAAAGAAAATAAATGAATGGTGCAAATAAGAGTTTTAGCCTACCTTAAAATACACTTCTATTAAAAATATTATTTTTTTCTCAACTCAAAAGGATTATTATTTTTTCTTACAAGTTTAAATTTTATTGGAAAAAATTTTATTTGAAATTAGTTTTTAAAGTAAAATTTAAGTAAATTTTTAAAAAGTTATATATCTAAATTTTTTAAATTTATTTTGAAAAATAATTTTAAATTGTTTAATAATAAAATTTCCAACTTATAAAATATAAATAAAATTTAAAATAAATCCTTTTTAACCTCCACTAAATGGTTTCAAAGGCTCATATACCTGAAAGTTACATCCCAACAAGTTAAAAGATGTGTGGTTTATTACTATTACTATTGCCGAGACCATCAAGATTACTATTTTTAAATAATGTTCAAAAATATTAATTTATTAAATAAAAATATCAATTATTTTACATTATTAATTATTATAACAATTATAATTATTATATTTTTTATTAATTAAATTAAATAATATTAATATTTATAAAAATAGTATTTTATAATTTTAATATCATATAATTAATAATATTATTACGGGTGGCCAAAACTTCTTGGCCGATTAAAAGAGGTTGATGCCATTTGTTTCTCCCTCGTCCTTAGCCCTTCCCAATAAAATCGGGAATTAATCACCCCACCGAATGGCAGAACGGAAACGCAGTGAAATGCCTTGGGCAAAAATTGTTAAACGCCGTTTAAATCCCTCGAGTTTTACATCTTTCTCTGATTTCACCAACATGAAATGTTTAGTTCAATTAAACTCTCATATATGTTGTTTTTTTTTTTTTTAATACTAATCTTTCATATCTAAAGTTACATTAATTTTTTACTAATTTAAAATTAAGTTACATCAAATCTCATAAAAAGAAACTTTTTTAATGTTGTGTTTTTATTCATAAAATTTAAATTCAAAATTTTATTAAAAAAAACATATTCTTTCCACTTAAACTAACAAATCGTTGGTCTCATAGTAAATAAATAGAATTATTTACAAAAAAAAAAAAATAATAACCAGAAAATTTAAGAAGGAAACCAGGGAAAGTAACTTTTAACTGATCTTAATTTTTATTTTGGAGGTTCTATTATTACTTTAATTTTTAGAGGCTGTTTTTTTTTTTTTTTTTTAAAGCGAATTTTTAGAGGCTGTTTGGTTGGTCGTGTTCTCATATAAAATATTTGGGCCGGAAAGCCGATGTAAAATTATTGTTGTTTTGATTCATAATATGTAATTTTTTAAAATGGTGGATGTAAGCAATTACAAAGCAAGGTAAGGCCAGATTTTTTTTCCCAAAAAAAAAAACATGGGAAAGTTTGCCTTCCGAATACATAATTAATTATCTTTAGTTATAATTGACTACAACCTTTATAAACATTTATATTCTTTGTGTAATCACTTAAAAATTTATATTGATATATGCATTAAAATTTTTTGAAAATTTGAGCCGAGTCATATGTGTGTGTCTATGTATTTGGCTAATGATTGTAGAAATGCCTTCTGGGGTAACCTTAACCAAACAGCCCCCTAAGCGAAAAGCATAAACATCTGGAACGTGCTATTTAGAAAAGAAAAACATTTTGTCAACTAAGAATTGGTACAATAATCACGCCGAGAATCATGCATCAATGTTGGATATTTTAACTCATATAGGGCGTTAAATGTAGAGTACTGGTATTGAAGTGATTTTATTATTAATAAAAAAAGGTTTTTGCACTAAGAGTTTAAATTTATGCTCTTTCTCCCCATCACCTACAAGCTTGAAATACATACTTTAATACATCATAATATCATAATATATATATATATATATGTGGGGCAATGAATACTTTTCCTAATATGTAACCAATTATCTAGAGATTAATTTTTTTTATAAGTCAATATTTTAAATCATTGCACATGCTTCAAAACTTCTTTAAAAAATGACACCATATTATGATCACTAAAAGATAAGGTTGTAAGTGAGTTCAATTAAGTTTTTTTTAACTCGAATTCAACGCTATGATAATGAGTTAAATCAAGTTGAAGTTTTTATTGAATTTGAAGTTAACTAACCAGCTCAACTCATGAATATAAATTTGACTTGCGAATTAAATTGATTATTTAAATTTAATTTAATGTTTGAATTAAAATAAAATTATAATTTTAAATATTTAATATAGAATTATTTTTTATTATAGTTATATAATTGAGTCAAAACGAGTTGAATTAAATTAAGTTTAAATCAAGCTTTGGGTGCAATTCAAAAACTCAATTCAACTCAGTTTTTAAGCTCAAATTTGAGCAAACACAAGGTCAACTTCCATTCTAGCTTAAGTTGGATTGAATCTAATTCAAATTTAAATTGAGTAGTGAATTAATAAGTTTATTGATTTACAACCCTTAATAATTTTTTTTAAGAAAAAAAACAAACACACCATGCACTCCATGTGTCCAATCAAGCACAGGAAAATCCATTGAAATATACGCAGTGTTCTTGAGGTACAGTTTTCTTATCCATTTCTGACCAGCTAACAAATTGTTTTAGCTCTAATTATGACAGCCAATTAGTAGTTGCCTAGCTAACTATCCCAAAGAGAAAAATTGGCTAGATTGGTCAATGCTCCTTGGCCCAACCTTTAATTAAGAGTTCAATGATTTTCAAAATCATGAATTCAACTTGAGACTATTGACCTCTTTATGGATTAGAAGATTGCAGAATGTACCATGCTCCCTTGAAAATTTCTTTAGTTTTTCTTTAATACACTCATATGGTCAACAGCATACAATCTGCGATGGAATTAGAGTCTTGATATTATACATCTTCAAGTAATTATTAAGTTTTTTCTTTTTTTTTATTAAATCTTTTAATATCTAAAAGTTATATTAAACTCTAATTAATTTTAAATTAAATTAAATCAAATTTTATAAAAAAAAAAAGATTTTCTCTGTGTTTATTTTTTTAAATCGAGATTTTATTTAAAAAAATTAAATTTCTTTCATTTAATTAAATTAACAAATCGTTGATAATTCTCTCTTTTTCTTTAATTTATTATGTATAACGATAAAATAGACAATAAAAAAAAATCATTTTCATTCTTCAATTCCCCTCCACTATTTTAAGATTCCAACCCAATAAATTTTATTAGAAGTTAAAGCTCATGTCATTGCATCGCCCATAATGGGACTCCTTCAACTTTATATAAATTCAAAACTTAATCATTGCTTATTGATTTATTATTTCACTTCCTCTTTATGATACAAGTTTCAGTTATGTTTTATTTCAGAAGATAAATATCAAACTTTAATACATCACAATATAATTTTTTTCAAAATGTAACAATAAAATATA